TTCATATTTAAATTGTAACCTCAAACTGAATCACCCTATAATTTGCGAAGAAATTTCATAAGGATGTCATAATAATTGAATAAACTAAAGAGTTTAGACCCCATGCTGTGTTAAAATTTTTGAAGTCAAACCTGATACACCCCTGTATGGTATGATTTAATTATAGTTTTTCTCCGATTAAAATTGAAGGTGAAATTTGAAGTTATGTTTTTGTTCGACTATGTGGCCTATTAAGTGGAGGAAGGGGGGCCAAATTCACGCTAGCCCACCCCAGTAAAAATTTCGAATTTTTTTTAATGCTAATTTTTTTCTCCAAGTTTTGCTCCATTTTGCTCCATGATCGGCGAGTTTTGCTCCATTATCTGAGGTGCTTTTTTTTCAGAGCTTTGAAACCCCAGGCTTCGACGCCCTGGGGCGCGTCAGCGCACGCTCTGAAAAAAACGGTAATTGAGGATCAAAATCTGTGTTCAAAAATCTAACCTCAAATTACAAAGTATGTGTCATGTTCCTGGTCCTGTGTAAAATTAAAATTATTCAAATCAAATGGAAAATAATTCTTTAAAAAATGCTTTAATTCCTATAATGGTGATAACGGAAGTAAGTAAGTAGGTACCTATCTGAGAAATATAAGGACAGGCAATTTTTCGCGAGAATAATCAAGCATAATCGATTATGCTGGATAATGTGATATGTCAATTGTGTCATACTCCCCTAACTCCCCCACCATCAAGTTCTTGGATGCTCGAGGATTAAGAACACGTAATTTCTTCTGTGAGAACAGACCGAAAATCACCTTTTCTGCATTTGAAATCGCCGAAAAAATTAACTCACTAGCACAGCGAATCGCATGCTTTCCATCGAGGTCTGCGGGTGACGTCATCCCTATGACCTGCTGATAGTGACGTCACTCGAAGGCTCAAAATTTCATGGGGACGGAGTTAGGGGAGTATGACACAATTGACACATCACATAACCCAGCATAATCGAATTATGCTTGATTATCCTCGCGAAAAATTGCCTATAAATTATTTGACACTACTGACAGTTCGGACACTGGAGCTGTGGAGCTTCGACGCCTCGCTGAGGCGCTAGCGGTGGGAATAGACGACCTCGGGGCTTGACGCCCCGATTTAGAAAAACGGCCGTTTAAATTTCAAAATCGTGATCCAGGGCGCCCTGGGGTGCCCATGCCCGTGAAAAGAAAGCAGCTCTGGAATGAGCTACCTCAGAGCTCCCAAATATCTCTCCCAGCCCTCCTCCCCAGTGAAAATTTCGACGTTCTTTTATGCGCATTTTATTCTCCAAGTTTTGCTCAATGATCGGCGAGTTGAAATGATGAAATGAAATGCACTCACTCTCCAATGCTTTTTTTCCGAATTTTTTGCTTGAAAATTAAGCGAGCACGGACTTGCCTAATGTGCGAGGAAGTTGTAAATTACATCGAAAACTACCCCTTTTTTTCATTCACTGTAATTTCTAAACGGGACCAAATATTAGGTGACAGTTTTCAACAATCGGCAGCCAATTTATTCCTCTCATAATGCCCCAGCGGATTTTTTTTTCGTTAAGGGGATTGAATGCGCCTCAATGCCAAAATATTTTTTCCTGCGCGAAGCACCTAAGGCAGTCTATCATTGTATTCTTCCTCCCCTATTAATACTTCTTAGTGGGAATGTGATGAATGAAACAAGGAATGCATTGCGTTCGTAATTTCAACGTAACTTTTTAGTAGTTGAAGTTATATCAAATTTCTTTTTTTCATTCGATTTATAATACAGAGACCAATGGCGCTATCTTTTTAGAAATCCGGTAATAGAAACGAGTTCTCGAAAAATTACAAAAAAGTAATTCAAACTGGAAAAAAACGAGAAAATTAATCAATTTAAGATGTCTTTTTTAATTAGCGCCAATCTTATGTGTGTTAGCAATACAATAACACAAACCAGAATCCCAAAAATTATCTAGTTTTTTTTTTTGTAGAAATTTACTTAATTCTTCTTGTCATTTTGCCTGTCTCTGTTATACCCGCAGCAAACCCTATGGCTCTTTCCTCCGCCTGTTTTGCGATAAATTTTAAATCGCTATCATGAAGGATCCAGCGCCAACCAGCCCAACAGTAGCCCAATGCAATAATCGCGATGAACCTCGCATCTTTATTAGTATTAACTTGTTGGGTAGTCGTATAGTTCGACGTGCGTTACAATATATTTTAAACGGCGCATTCAATACCCTTAATTACTCAATGACTTATTGGCCTGAACACGTCGCGCAGAATTTTTCAAAAAGTCAAAAAAAAATTAAAATTGTCGCACAGCGCTGAAATTTGGTACGATGGCTTTATTTATTGTTCTTATGAATATACTGCAATTTTAATTGCTTCACATGACTGCTGCAACAATTAGAATTGCAGTATATTCATGAGAACAATAAATAAAGCCATCGTATATACCAAATTTCAGCGCTGTGCGACAATTTTAATTTTTTTTTACTTTTTGAAAAATTCCGCTCGACGTGTTCAGGCCAATAAGTCATTGAGTAATTAACGAAAAAAAAAATCCGCTGGAGCATTATGAGAGGAATAAATGGGCTGCCGATTGTCGAAAACTGTCACCAAATATTTGGCCCCGTTTAGAAATTCCAGTGAATACAAGAAAGGGGTAGTTTTTTTTACAACTTCCGCGCACATTAGGAGAGTCCGTGCTCGCTTAATTTTCAAGCAAAAAAATTCGAACAAAAAAGCATTGGAGAGTGCATTTCATTAGCAATAATGTGGTGTTTGAAAAATTGAAATCGGATTATGCATTCGGCCGCTGTTGCATCAAATGCGCGGGAACAGGCAAAACGGTGATTCAGTGACCTTGAATAAAAACATGCAATTATTCAAGACGCTGCGGAAAAAAAACTATAGAAGATAGAGGGATGCTGTCGCTGAGTTTTTTATAGCAAAAAACTTCAGCTACAACAATCATTTGAAACTTTTTGCTATTGGACCATCCCCTTGAGCAGCGTTCTCCATAAACCGCAAATTACCACTAAAAACCACCCCTAACTAAAAACCCTATGGAAATACAAGGTCGCAAACTTAATATGTTATTGAGCACATGAAAATGGACCGATCCCCCCCAAAGAAAGTTAACTTCTAATTATGTTGAGGTAAACTTCCTTCATTGCTTGGCCTATTGATAGAAAACGTAAAAAAGAAAGAAATAAACTAGGAATTAAAAAAAATAATCACAATTGGCCTTGCAGTGAAAACAGAAAAATTGTGGCAAAACTAAAGTTCTTCACTTCTCTTTCAAAGGTTATTTATGATATGCCAAAAATTATTTCGTTCCATGGGTAGTGTGAATAAAAATCTAGTGAAAGCTTTATCTTGCATTTCCTAAGCAAATACTTACTTTGCAGTGAATAAAAATAAGTATTAGCTTTAACTAAAAATTCAATTAGTAAAAGCTACAGTTTTTAGCAAGGTGTGAATAAAAGTAAGCAATTCCTAATTATATGAAGGAAAAGCTTAAATTTTTGCAAGCCTGGTAAACCTTGGCTTAAACATTCTACAGTACTACAGTGACTTTATTGACTTTATTACCACAGTGGCGACAATTGCTGTCTTCTTTTTGATCGGTTCTTTAAAATCTTATATATTCATAAGGAAAACGATGCCATTTTGTGCCCAACCTCTTGTTACTTTTAAATATGAATATATAGGATTTAAATGGACATCCATAATAGGAAATTGGAAAAAACGTATTTGGTCTATGTACTCAATACTAGTAATTAGAGATGTCGTTTCCAATTTTTAATGATAGATGTCCATTTAAATCCTATATATTCATATTTAAAAGTAACAAGAGGTTGGGCACAAAATGGCGGCAGGACCTCTATTGTCGCCACTGTATGTAAAGGTTCATTTAGCCACTGTAAAACATTCAAGTGATGTTCAAAAGTTTGGCAGAAATGGCTGCGTTTATGGATATAAGGTCTGCGAAATTTTATCCCGAAAGAAAAGAAAGTCGTGCCAAAGAATACCAAAGTCCGTCAATTTGAGGTTGACTGAAAATTTTTCAGGAACCTCCTCCTGCAACAAATCACTTATAGAATTGCCTGAATCACTATTCATTTTTATCTTGAAGCGCTAGCGTTCGATACCGCTACTTGTTTAAAATAGGTACGTTCACCAGCACTCAAATGTTGCCAGTTGAGTAGTTGGAGTTGGGGAAACAATGGGTTCGTTCACCAGTACTCAGCAGCTAACTTGCAGTGTAAAGGAGTCGAGGACAGTTGAGATACAGCGGATGTAAATTTCTAGAACGCATAGTTGAGAGTTATGACAAATAACAATTCAATAATATGAGTTGCTAAGCGTAAATTTTTACTGCTTAGAGAAACCGGCAGCAGCTGACAAAAAGCTGCTGCCGATTTCTCTAAGCGGTAAAAATTTACGCTTACCAACTCAACTTATGCTTTAGACATACGCAGAAGTGTCGGGCATTCAGAAAATTCACATCCACTGTATCTCAACTATCCTCAACTGCTTTACGCTGCAAGTTAGCTGCTGAGTACTGGTGAATGTACCCAATTATTGACTTCTTTCAATGTTTTCACGCCGCCGGTCATAGCTTTACTCTAACCATTGATGTGTTCCAACACATCAAGAAACCGTACAATGTTAAATGTACAACCTGATGTAGAAATTAGCGGTTTCGTTTGCTTCTACGGGTTCTGAAAAAATTCCTGAATCCAGCAACAAATAAAAGTGCTAAAAATAACTCAAAATTTAAACAATATCGGCAGGTACTTAGCAAGCTAGACTTGCTAATAAGGAATAAGTAGTGATATCCAAAATATAAGTGAAATATTTTATGGTATTTTGGTATTACGTGCTTTATGTAAATATATTAATTTTGCGATATTAGATCATTGACCCCTAAAGTAATTTTTAAATTTCATTGTTATATACCCTAGTATGAAAGATTTATTAGAAAAAAATAAATAAAACGAACGGTTAATTCTACATTTTTATTATAATAATAGTTAAAATCAATAATCCTCAAACAAAACAACTAGATACTTATAAAGATCAAACTTTCTTGGAATAAAGTAATAACTAAACTAATTAACTACAAAAAATGTATTTACAAAATCATTGAAAACCGCCTTTTTAGCAATAATAATAGAGTTTCCTTTTCATTGACATTAAATATAAAAACGCGGACAACCATACCTGACTAACAATATCTTTTTTTTTTCTAAACTTTTAGCCACCCTGTATAATCTCAGTGACATGCCTCTCATAAATGTTTAGATTGCTAATGGTACATAATTCAAATACTGATTTATCATGGAATTCATGGATATCGATACACAATTAATAATCGCAATGATGACACACATGAATATGTATAATGGAAAAAAAAAAAAATTAATACTTGCCTGAGTTGTGCTAATGAAATATGCATAGATACCTACATAATAATAAAATATCAAAATCAAAAAAAGCTTTTAAAAAAGTCTGCTTGTAGGGTAGATCCCAAATTGAGCCAAAAACTTAAACTTAGCCCATAGAAGATAAAAGAAATATTTTAATCAAAAACAGAATTAAGTTAAAGATACGTTCAATTTTTAGGTGTTCTATCTAGTAAAACAAAACAAATAAAAATCGAATAGGATACCACACCTATTTTTACTATCGCAAAATTATACATTCCTATGATTTTGTGCAAAATTGTGCTTGTTCTAATGATGTAGATCTTTATTTGTCATTGAAACCTTTTATAGCTATACAAACAATAATAAACACATTTTTGTATGCCTAAATATTTGATTACTTAAACATGATTATCGAAATCTTTCTATAAAAACATTAAGTAAGTCTGTTGTTCTAGAAATGTATTAAAGCAGTACCATTCTCAGCTCACTTACTCGACATGAAAACTCAGTTCAGTGTCAAGTTCAATCTAACGTCTTAAGTTTGCGATTATGGATTATTATATTCCTTTTAGTTATTAGATTTATTATATTAGATAGCAAAGTGGATATTTCACTCCCATAAAATGGTGTATGAAAATTTGTATCTGATTTGAAAAGTTCTTATTGAATCCACTTTGCTTTTCCTATATAGTGTATACGGCTATAGTTTGACACAAATATTTTGTCAAACACAAGGACACAATACACACATATACATATACATACCAGACTACTAATGCCTGTTCAATTAGGAAGTTTATGTGATAGTTTGGTCATTTTCCGTTCAACTAACCCAAGCACTTCAACTATTTTTGTTTTAGTTTCAATATGCTTGAATTAGAATTCAGAAAAAGAGTTTAATATTCGAATGTATAAAATAAATTACCACACCTAAGTAAAGACATGTAAGTAAATGTATGAAACATCTCTTAAAATAGGTAGTTTCCTTATTTTGTTTGATGCGCATTGGAATAGTGCGTGTTTGAAGCAAGTCGGATTTTCGAAAAGTTGCATACTAAATATTTCTTGTTAACCACTCTAAATATATCACATTTCGAAATGCTTTAGTCTATAAACTAATGGTTTATTTCAAAGCTCAATAAAATTTTCAATAAACTATTTTTTTCTTTTAACAAAAAAATTTAAAACATATCTATTTACTTATAAAGCAAACAGTCTAAAATTCTTACTTTTGATGTCTTTCAAAAATTCGGTGGGGATATATTATTTAACACATAAAAGTGATACACAATAATTGAAATTTCAATAGAATAAAATAGAAATATCCCCAGGAAAATTTAATTTTATATATTTTTATGAATTGTTAAGAAATTAAATCAGTCAAATCTGTATTGAACGTTTTCCATATTTGCTTATAACATTTTTGGATAAATAAACTCTATACAAAAGTAAAAGTTGTTTTACAACCATTTTTTATCCTATCCCAAAATTTTTTCCGGGTAGGTATAGTATACAACATTTTTTTTTTTAATTTTGAGCGATCTGGTGTATTCCTGCAACTGCAGAATTGAATATGCTACGAATTTTTTGATAACTAATTTTCATTTTGCGCTTCACAATTTGGGTCAATTGAAGAAGGTGGGGCAATGGTAACCTTATCTATTATAAATAGTAGTAACTAAAAATTCACCTAATTTTAAAATAACAATTAACAGGATTATCAAAATTAGGTAAAGGCAAACACTATGAAAAATTTTATGAGGGTTTACAGCACGTTCTCACCCTGCTATAGTATGGATATTTGATGTAATATTCATTATCATCTTGGTATATCATCTGCAATTAATATGCGTTCCCGAGTCCACATTATTTGAAAATGAACGAAAACCCACTGATAAATAAAATCAGTTTCCAGAAATATTCTGCTATTTTGATTATTTTTCTATGTCATATGTTTATTATCTACTACTCTCGAGTCTCCATCACTTCCATACTTCAATTAACATGCGACAATTGAAATTAGTTGGGAAGTTGAAATAACATATTCATGAAGTCACATATTTACACGACTTGTTATGAAAGGGGCACTAAATTATGTTATATCTATTCAACTCGAGGTTCAATAATTTCTAATTTTGTGATTATTCATTCCCCACGCTCTTCCAGTGCCCTGACGAGAATACTTAGCTTAATTATTTACAAAATAAATACTTGCATAATAGACATTCTATACTTACATAGATAAGATAATGCGGGTAACCATGAGATTACTTACCAAGACCTAGCTTAAGCATGAAAATCGATATCGATTTTAAATTTTGGGGATATATTTTGCTGATCAATGCAGAATTTAGTAGCAATTAGGCTTCCGCCGTTCTACCGCTTCTGGTACCGCAAGTGCCATTAGCGAGTTTTCGTTGTCTTTTAGAAGCGATTCCGATAGCAGCTATTTGACAACTATGACATTTGATCTGTCATTTATCGTTATCGTTACCGATAAGTGCCGGGAGCTTACGGACGGAAGACAAAGCCATACCGAAAACGGAACGCATACCGTATTTCCTATTTTTTCGTTGTGTTTGTTTTTGTTGTTTAATGTTTTTGGTTTTCGAAATGGATTCAACACTAAATTACCCCAAGAGATCGAGAAATCGTTTCACGGATGAGGACGATATTATTTTATTAGAAGAAATATTGGCCAGCAACCCATATCGTGATGCATTTAAATATGTTTTTGTAGTACTTATCCAATTTTGTAAAACTCACAGGGAAAATTATTGAATTTTAGGTACTAGGAAATTAAAACAAAGTGCAGATAGCACAAAAAGTATATGAAAACAAACCATTGAAGATAGGTTATGTTTGACTTAACGTTAACGTTAACCGGATCAAACGAAAACTATTTTTACGATCTGTCAAATAGCGGCTTCGTATTCGTATTCGGTATGGTTAACCGTTCGAATTTGCCAATACAACGAAAACTCTCTATTAACTTCTTTATTTCGAATGGATTAACCGCTATATCAATACATTTTTCGATGCTACGAGAAATTCTAAGCATTTTTATGTATACCAAACATTAACAGTCAAAATCGCGAAAAAAAAAATCAAAAATTATTTTTATTTTAGTTTGTACAGAAAATAATTGAAGGCAGCTTTAAAAACGAATAAGATGCTTTTAACTTTTTTTTGAAGCACTAAAGAGTCATATTCCACTAAAATATCACTTCCGTATCAATCGAAAGTTTTTGGGTCTTGAGGATATGTTACTGCAATAATTTTAATGTTACCCTGTACCAATAACTGAATTTTCGTACTGTACAAACAATTTAATATCTCTTTTTGTGTTCACTTTTTTCTATGCCTAAATTTTACTATTTTTGAGATATTTGATGTCTTCAAAATAACCAAAATTTGCTCTAGGCTTAACTATTAGACACTTAGTATATCAATATCAAAAATATTATACTTTAGGCATAAGAAAATGTGAATAAAAACTATTAAAAATTGTTCGTGTAATACGAATTTTCAGTTTCTAATATACCAGGTGTTTTCCAAAACCCGCTCATCCTTTTAACTTTTTTTTTCACAAATAATTAAATGGAATTTGGTGTATTTATCTATGGCCCGAATGGCCATGATTTGACGTATTCAATTATTTATTTTCATTTCCGGTTTGACTGGAAGTGACCCCCTCTGTCTTATTTCAAGTAAGACGCCAGGTATATTTTCCCTTATTTCAATAGAAAACTACATTTGTCACGTTTTGACATTTTATGTCTATAGTTAAATTTTTCTTTCGCTACATTAGGAGTTCAATGACATCTTATTTGTTATATTTTGACATTTTATCTCAGTATTATTTAAATTTTTACGTTATAATTTAGAGCACCATAAAATGCTTAAAATGCGTAATTTTGCTACAAGAAACCTGCGAAAATTTATTTTGATCTTATTTTTTATTTTATATCCTCTACGGACTCATTTAAGAGTAGTAGAAGCGCATTTTTGGAATTACCTATATCCATTTTTCCAAATGGAAAGGTTGTGGCTCATTGGCATATGACTCGAACAATTTAGTAACTACCAAATAATCGCCATTTCATAATACTCAAATTAAGGAATTTTCTAGCATTCTAAATATTGTGTGGTAAAAAATTGTTCGTTAGAAAATGCAAAATAACATCAAAACAAATTTTTCCAGGTTCCTTGGAGTAAAATTGAGCATTTTATCTTATTCATGGTGCTCTAGATTAAAGAGTAGAAATTCAAATAATTTAGAGATAAAATGTCGAAAAGTGACAAATGAAGTCAGCATAGTTTTCCATTGAAATAAGAAAAAATATACTTGGTGTCTTATTAAAAATAAGAAAATGAGGGTCACTTTCGGTCAAACCGGAAGTGAGCGGGTTTTGAAAAACACCCAGTAAAGTACAAACCATTAAAATTATTTCAGTAACATAACCTAAAAATAGATCGACCGAAAACTTCCGATTGAACCGGAATTGGAGTTTTAGTGGTAGGACTTCTAAATGAGGTGCAAAATATCGTGTTAGTTTAAACCTACCTTGAATCATTTCCTGTCAACACTAAAATAAAAGTTAGGTATTTTTTGACATTTTTCATCTCGATTTTCTCGAAAACTGTTACGAGCTAGGTATCCATTTCCTCCATGATAATATACATGAAGTAGGTACCCATGCTTGGAATTTCTCCTAGAAATTCAATAATAAGGCAGGAAGCTACCTAATCCCTTTCAATTGAAGAAGTTAATGGCACTTCCGGACAAACCGGAAGCGCTAGTCATTTTTTTTGTGCTTAAAATCTGCACCGATATCAATAATATACACCCGGTATTATCGATTCCCATGCCTAAGATAGAGCTTGGTAATTAATCTCGTGGTCACCCGGTAGCGTAAAGACAGAACATACCATTGTACAACGTGTTGTTTCAAAACCGTCGCGCTGCACCGTGGTATGTTTTGTTTTGTGATTGAGCTCCACGCCTGTAGACAAATCATACCACGCTACAACCAAAACGTACGCACAGCCAGCATCTATTTTTTGCTAACTTCAAGAGAAAATCACATTTCACTTGTAACTTTTTTTAGAATTGATGTTATTTGGATATTCTTGATGAAAAACCGGTAAGAGAAAAAAAAGAAAATGTTTACCTTTTAATTGTTAATTGAAACTATTTTTCATCATTGTTGCCTTTAATGAAGTTAGACACAAACGACAAGGCTTAAGGAAGGATTAACACTAATCTCAATCCATTCAACAGTTGTGAAATAAACGTAGTCAGTCATTGTCTTTCTAAAATCTACTAAATCACGTAGCCGAAATATACCAAGGCTGAACGCATAAGTGCGTTGTACAATAATATAATGTGTCTTCACGTCACCCGGTAAATAAAACCTAACTTGGCACCTATAATTGATAGAGATATCAAAAAACTTAAATCTTATCCAATAACAAATAATTAAAATGCGAGGATTATGACATATTAAGTGAGTAGATTGATATACTTCTTAAATTATTCACAAAGGTATAAGTAATGTTAAGGTATCTAGTATAGGGAAGTATATAGGGAAAAAAGGATTGATTGTACGATAAAATAACTTCATTTAAATTCGCAAGAAATTTCTGAAAGTAGATTGGAACTAAAAATTAGACCACTTGGCATAATTGTAAAGTAAAACAGGTGTGCACCAGGGAATGCGAACTTCAGCGACATGAAAGTATCCGAAAAATTCCCAATAAAAAAAAAGTAGAAATCAAAGTATAAGAGCATAATTAGTTGCTTTATGAAACCTGCAATATTTAGTTAGATTCGTATAAATGGATATTCCTGTACAATGGACAATCAAATATACAAATAAATTCAATTTTTCATAAAATATATAAAAATTATTGCATTTTGTGTGATTTGAAAAATTTGAGCAGGATTAAATAACCTCACTGTAATTCCTTGAAAACTCACTGTTTCAAACTAGCAACTCACATTGTACAATAACCCTGTTGGTTAACAACTCAGAAAACTGTGCAAATTTTGAAAGAAACCATAAATTTTGACATCACATCGGGACGATCAAATAGGCCTGAGAAAATCAAAGAGTATCTAGGTATTTTTTTTGGGCGAATTTAAGATTCCTCAGCTTCTTCTCTGAAAAGGTAAGTGGACCAATATATAACGTTGAATAGCGCAAATACCAAAGGAAATGTTATTCTGGATATGACATCAATACGTTTAGACCTTGTAGGGAACTTAGACAACCAAGACCGGCAACAGTTTGGTCTTGGTTGCATATGAACCTCACAATGAGCTTTCTCGATTCTCATAGAGTCACCCTGATTGCGTACTAAAGGTTTCTGAAGCAAAGGAGAAGGATTGTTAGCATCAATGTGATTTTGAATCGATCGGTTTCTTACCATTGCGAAAGTAGCGTTACTATCAGTATCGATCATATCAGAAGCACCGTCTAAAGATTGTGCGTTTTCTAATTCGACCTGTTGCCTGCGCTGTTTCTTCATATTTTCGCGATGCATATCAGAACGTGAAGCGTAATTTACTAACGCGAATTCCAATAGAGCCCCGAAAACAAATGTTAAACATACACCGGTCCAAACATCAATAGCTTTAGTGTAAGACACGGGTGGTAACGATGCGTTGATGCCTGATGTTTGGGTAGCCATAGTCAGCAATGTTGTTACTCCTGGAAAGACAAAGATATTTTAATAAATAACGTTTACAAATTTGTATAGGTAGGTACCAAGGTGTCCTCCAAATGCTCTTTGAATTTAAATCACGTAAGATGAATAATTAAATTCTAAACCAAAATTTCGTATGAAATTAGTGGTCAGTTGAAAGAGCGAGTTCGAACAGGCTAATAATTATAAATAAACATAGACACTTAATAGTAACTAATTGAGAAGAAATTCTGGCCCTGCATGTCAACGTTCCAGGCCATGGAACAATATATGGTGGTTTCACTCCCAATAAGCTTGTCAAGGAACAAGTAGTAGCAGGGGCAGGCTTATATATCATCAAAGCCGATACTCACGCCCAAATGCACCGTAAGGACTTAATCCAGATTAGTTGTTAAAACCAGATTAGGACTTCTTTCCTTTATGCAAATTTTCGAACTAACATACGGGTGTAGGTCACTCAGCAAGATACGATCTGCAAGGACTCTGCAGATTGTCTCATGTGTAATGCAATCCTCCCAATTGTTCAAGGACTGCTCGATATCAGCTAGTTGGATGTACCATCCAAATCACGAATTTCCTGCAAATCGCATCGTCTATAGGACAATTATTGCCAAGGATTGCATACAATGCAGATATTTTATGCACTGTCAAAATTACCTGCTCTCGGTGAACACTATGAATTTGCTCAATTGAATCAACCTGACATCGACCCTGCAAAGCCATCGATAGGTATATATTGAGTATAAATAAGCAACTGTAATAAATAAGCAAGTTTGTCACTGTGGACCTGCCTCCAAAGAATCCATCCTCCTTTTTTTAAATCAGAAAGGTCAACTTCACAAGTAATAATTTGTTTACCTTTATCCCCACTCTTAGAAATGGATGTAATAAAGCTAGTTTTCCATATCTCTGGATACCTAAAACTTTAAAGATTGGCAACAGATCAAATCTGCAATTGAATATCAGATTTGCTATTCCATTGAACACATCTATCATTTCAGCGTTGATTCCACCTAAAGGACCCCGCTCAAACCTTATTGAAAAGTGATTTATGTGGTAAGTCCCTGAATTTTTAGTTTTGTTTAGAGGAAGTCTTCCTGATTAAAAGTTACCATTGCGCTAGAGTCCAATAATCAATAGTTTCGGAGATATTGATCAATAATACTGGATAAATAAAATTATAAAATCCACATCAGAACTCGGGGGCTGTCAGGTTATGTCTTCTGTCATGCATGAAACTAAATTACGAATTCCAGAAATAATTTTAGAATTGTACCTATATTGAAATATTACTCAAACAGGGGTTATTGTTCACATAGAAGACCTAGTATAATACAGTAGTTCATTTTATCCTTAAAAAAAGTGTCGTAAAAAACAAAAATACCCCCCTCTACCCAACATAAATGAAATATTTATTTTCCAGTATCATTTAGCAATATTGTTGGAAACTATTGAAGACTACCTCTTAAAGATATAAAAAATTCAGGAAATTCCAGAAAATCAGATTGAATATTATTATTCACAGCACAGTTAATGTTCATACATATTTACATCGGGACTAATCGGGACTGCATAGACCCACATAGCAAACAATAAAGTGGCATACAAGTTGGTTATGTCTTGAGTGTTGAAGGCTATTTCATCATCATGGCATTAGCATTATTTTCCATACTCAGTTCTAGATTATTGATAAAACAACTTCTTATAAAGCTCCACATTCGCGTCTAGCTGATGCAAACTTGTTATAATCACCTATTGAGTCACTACCTTTGTAGTTTCTATGAGATATTCTATTATGTATTGTGAGTTTTATCAATTCTCCTGGCATCCATCTTCGAAAATTTAGGTTTTTTGCTCTGCTAATTGGCACATAGATATCAATGGCATTCTGAAGCACATTATCAAATTAACGTCTAAGTCTGTTGAATCATCCCAACAAGAAGCAGCTTAGTATTTATGGATACCATCAAAATCTGAGTATTTGAAATTGTAGAATATGTAATCCAACTCAAAAGATGGTTGTCCAGGCTTTATATCAGTAACAGTTTGGATGTTTCAGACCCAATCCTAGAAAGGGTTTGGTTACTGACTTCACACCTGCATTTTTGTGGTTACTGAAAGAAAATTTAAATTTAAGGTATTTCCGTAGATATTTGGAATTTTATTATGTTGAAAAAAAAAATCACGAAAGAAAAAAAATCGGAAATACAATTAGACTCAAAAGTTGTTTGACCAATTGCTTAACATCCACGATCCACATTCACCCAGTGTATTCTTGAGGCAAATCAAGGTCTCCAAACAAAAATACATAATCAAACTTATGATTCAGCATGGCATCTTCCACTGAAGCACAGTACTGCTCATATCCATCGCAGGAAGTTGAAGATGACCAATAAGTAGGTACCTATTAGAATAGTTATCTTATCCATGCTAATCACAAATAGGCTGTCAAGGCACTGATCAGATACAAGGGACTGATACTGACATATATATTCATTAATGTCATTCTCAGTTGTGGTTCTAGCTACCCTTCCCACATAAAACCATTTTTTCGCTGGGATGCCAGTGTCCTCGTGAAGTGGAATGAAGATGTGCGGTTTGTTGTTTGTTTTCATCTTTTCTTTTATTGAGGTTTGGTTGACTCCTGTTGCCTACATTTCTGTTTCGGCTTGGATCATTAAAATTCCGTTGTCAATTATTTCCATCTTTTGTCCTATCCATGTTTGTCACATCTGTAATTGCAGCCTGATTCAAGGTAGCAAGCACATGAACCACTTACTTATTATTTGTGTCTGTAATTATTTCAGGAAAGTTACTCAATTTATCAATCATACTATAATGAATCTGTTCTATTGACTCATCTGCAATTTGGTTGGTAACATCCTCCGATACACATTTAATCTTCTCAGATTTTATCACGTTGTATTTTTGAAGTCTGAGCATTCATAGTTTTCGTGAGATTATCAATATTTTCTTGTTGTTCTTTAATCGCTGTTTCCAATTTCAATTTAGATGTTTCTGTAGTTGAATTTTGCTTTTAGGTTATTTGATACGATCTTCGCACTGCTTCAATTTAAGGTGGGTTCTGGTCTAACAGACATTTAATTAATTTCAATTTTTTATATGTACAGTGTCATTACTTAAGTGTGCAACATATGGGATTTTTTTTTAGTAATAGCAAAATCAAAATACAAACAAGGCCAAAAGTTGGTGCATGTCTGATAATCATATTAGGTGCACTTAGAATGGTTGCAAGTCAAACAGCATACAGGGTAGCTCATAAAATATCAAAATTGTAGTAATATTTACTTAAATAAAATAAAACTTTTGCACTACAAGGAGAGTTTTTTTAATATGCATATTATCCTCAGTAATGTTTTAACTTGTTAAAAAAAAATTTGCGACATTTTAAAGTTGTGTTGAATATCATTGCAACAAACATGAATTTTGTGATTCCATAAAAAATTAAAAATCTAAGTTAATTTTACAAATATGCTTGAATTTGAACAAAGTTATGTAAAATTGATTTGATTTTAATTAATTTTTGAGAGTATTAAGGGCGGAAATAAAAAATAAAAAAAATATAGAAATTATAGATTTTTTTCCAAAGAAAATAAAAAAAATCTTAGGAGGCTATGTTTTGGTATTTGGGCATAACTTTCAATTCCAAACAACTTTTCTCTATAACATTTTGCTGAATTTTCTAAAATAAGGGTATTTTACAGTACAGCTTTGATATTGTTTGAGCTACCATGTATGCTGTTTGACTTGCAACCATTCCAAGTGCACCTAATATGATTATCAGACATGCACCAACTTTTGGCCTTGTTTGTATTTGGGTTGTGCTATTACTAAAAAAAATTCCAGTATGTTGCACACTTAAAAAATCACACTGTATATTATGTAGTTTAATTTGAAAAGTTTACCATACAATACCATATGACGGACTTTCTAAATTAAATTATATTAAATTCTAGATTAAATTAAATGGCTGCTAGAATCCACAACCTTGTTACTCGACTTTAGATCCATGTATTTTCTGTGTTTTTTTTATTTGTTGTTGGTGTACTTTGGCTTATTATTGGCTGATGAGAGATAATAAGCTCTCAACCGGTATGTAATTAGCACCAGTACCTAATGATTAGGAATTCGGTTTTCTCCATTCTCTTACAGAGACCACACGTCTTGTATCTGACCGTGATCATAATAATACAAGCTCATCATATGATACTTGTGTTTTGTCGAAGATAAAGTTCCACTTCTTTGTTGAAAATCAGTATCTTTTCAATGTTATCACCACAATAAACACAGGTTTTAACCTTATTTTCCATTTAACACAGGAAATATAGTTATTTCAAAAGTGTCAAATGAAAATTTTAAGGCTGTTTTTGAACCACAGGATTTATAATAGAGTGTTTATATTGGACATCGGGCCATAGGTAAAGGTATTACATCCTTGTCATTCGTTAGTTAAACACAGCTCCTATTATCTGACTTAATCCGAAATCTAATATGAATGCACCTTAGAACATGTTTTAGATTCAGAAACGCCTTCTATTTTTGACCCTCCTAATACGCTCGTTCTCTACAATTACTGTCTGGTAAATTGACTATGGTAGTTAGTTTTTTTGACAGTTTTTTGAGTTAAATTGCCTAAAGATAACAAAACTCGAATTATAAATGTATTTCAAGTGTATTTCGACAACAAAAAAATAGATAGGTTCCGTTCTGTCGCTGGAAAAGTTAGGGAAATTTTTTTCGCTGTGATAATGACAAAAACATTGCTTATGGGATTTTTAGTGTATGAATTAAATTGTCACTTATAAATTTATTCATTAGACATTGGCAGACATCCATGGTGTTTTAGCATCTCTTGTTTATCCAGAAAAGAATAAATTCAACGTGAGAGACGTAATTCAAGGCATGTTAATAAGACAGAGTGACAACCTTAGGTGCCAACCATGTAGAATTTCGTCAACTTATAAAATTCTATATTGCGCATAGTCCAGCTTCAGAGTTTCCATTATTATGGATGTGGGATTATGACAGCAACAATAATCATCGTTTTGCCTAGTACTTTCTGGTTCTATTCACGAAAGTCTGGGAAGAAATTTTTTGAGACTTAAAATGTATGTAAGCCGAGATGTAAGCTTTTATTAGAAAAGATAATATTGTCAATGAAATAAGGTGGCGCATAGAAGAAGTAAATCCTAATAATAGACCTATCTATTTTTACCTGTATGCGCGCGCAACACGAGGCAATGCATTTTTATTGGCTAACTAGTACAGGTGTGAAATAATCCTTTCGCACGCTGGGTATCTCCTTGTCCTTGTTCATTGCCTGTGGTCTGACAAGGATAAAATTATGCTTGATATTTAACTTGACGTAGCTTGACAAGTGATCGATTTTCAATTGTTTGTGTACGTTTTGCCTCGTCTTGCGCAATAAGCGTTCTGTGTCTTTTTCTATCTAATAAAGTTTTCGTATTATTACGTTTTATTACCTCTTTGTCTGGTAAAATAGATAGGTCTATTAGTTTCAGTTGCGTGAAAGAGTTTCGCATTTTCACATCCTTACTTATTAAAAAAAAATATTTAAACAATTTAAATTCTCCTTTTGTAAAAACATTTGTAGTTTTGTTCGAAAAGCTGTTGAAAATTGAATACATTTTCATTTTCGCCAGTGTTTCCGACGTTAAAATGGATTGCGATAACATTTAAATTTTCCCTAGCTCTGGCTTGTAGGTGACTAGACTGTTCGACACTATGCAATTTCAAAGACTTACCTAACGATACTCTTGCCGGAACCGCTCCCTGGTCTAACCAGAAAGACACCCAGGATACAATTACCAACATGCAGCAAGGTATGTAGATCTGGATCAGGTAGTAACTGAATTCTCGCTTGAATAGCAAATCGACCTTCAAGCAACTGTATTCACCTTGAATTAAACAAAAACATTTTGAAGTTAGTCGCTCAAATCAGGTAAACATTAGTAGTAGTAAGAGGTGCTTGAGTTTCAGTTTATATACTCCACTTCGGATCCTTCGATAGTCTAACGTGTTTTGATACCTCAGTGGAGTGAAGGTCAATAACGTACGACCAGAAACACTTTGGACACACATTGGGTAGATTGATGTTATAAGCCGGAGAAAATATGTTTACAACGTCCAGGGGCCCGAGGTATGGTGTATCCTAAAATTATTAATAATTGACGCGAATATGAACAACTTTGTGATGCTTTGAAATAATAATATAATGATAGTTTAGTTAAATTGTAGAAAACATTTTCATTTATAAATATAAACCTAAAAAATGTGAAAATGTCGTTGAGAGTCATGAAAGACGTTAAGGCTCCTGGTGAGGATGGAGTGAAAATAGATACTTATTTCGAATAACAGACCGATTAGCAAAACTTTCACTAATCTTTCGACAAATAAATTGGATTTTTACCGTTCAAAGGAGCAAGCAGGATTCCGTTTTAATTATGTATGGGACCCAAGGACCACCTAACAGTGAAATTTCTTGTGCATGTGTATGTTTAGAATATGATAAACTAATGCCACTATTGGTTTATTTTCGACTACGTAGATCTGGAACAAATTTTTGAGGCAGTCGCCAAATGTCGGATTGCTCACCAATACTCTAGAGCAAGCTAATAATGTGTCGATCAATGTCCTCGATCGTACCAACGATACCGTCCAGGTTCTCAATAGACTACAGTGTTAGTCCATGATCCAAGGGCCCCCTTATTTGCTAAAGGACAAAATGTGTGAGATAGAGTAGTCTATCTATGTTCTTTGATCGCATGCATCCCATGCTGAAGAGCAGTCTAAATTTACTTTTCAGGGCATTTATCTATCCGAATTGATCTACCTATGGACTTACACATGGAATTCGATATTTCCCTGTGTACGGCCAATTCAAGGGCCAGAAACAGACAGACTAACAATCTCTTTTTGTACATTCCGTCATTAAGTGCTCCTCCGCATACTTTGAGTATTGGGGCTGCCGCACGCCTGACATCCGACATAGGTACTCAGATAATATTTTTCTTTTCTCGCTCTTCTCCCATTAGATAAGTGTAAAGAAGATAATTTTGGCGGTGATAAATTTCGAGCCGGATGTGGTTACGTTAGGTATTTCTTGATTTCATTTGCGGAATACTTTCCTCGCATGTGGCGTTATACAAATTCATGCCTAATTTCTTTGTGTATTCCAGCAGAGCACGTTGTAAGACTGATAACCTCAGTAACCTCAGCTTTGATTTGGGTATGTCCATGCTTTCGTTTGTGTCCGAGATAGGGATTGAGACGAGCTGGTAGATGTAAAACTGTCTTTGCTTTCATTGTGTAGATGCTTTTTTTTAAAATCACAAATAACTTTTCTATAATAGGTATCGCATTTTTGTGTTATGTTATGTGATAGTACAGTTTCATGCTTCTTCAGACTATCGAAGGCTCCGCCCATGACCAAATAAATGCATATTAAATGATAATTTGTGTATTATGTACATACCTGTATTGGTCTTACTGTTGCAGTAATCTGTCAAGAATTTTTCCAAAGTAAACCGCGGTAGGTGTAAGTTTTTCACAACTTGAACAGGATCACCTTCTTTCCATAGAAAAACTAAATCGTCTGTCGTCCAACCATCTGAAAAAATAATAGCAATATTTTTGAGTAAGTTTTTTTTTTCTTGTATTTGTATAAATAATTTAAATTGTAAATAATTATAATTTTTTAGAAAATTAACAAAGATTATTTGAAAGCAATTTCAACGTATTGGAAATACTTTATATTTAGAGTATATTTGAAAACAAATTTAATTTATTGGAGGTAATTATAAGTTAGGTTTGTAATATGTACTTACAACTAGCCATTCGAAGTGAGCAAATTTGCCTGTCCAATGGATAGAGTTTGAGATTCATTGGGCATGAGAGTGTTAGGGATATTCTGAAAAAATGATAGATCATATAAAAGTTTAAAAGCTCTTCATTAATCACAAACATTTTAAGTGATTTACCTCAGACAACAGTTTCACACTAATGTTTTCAAAGAAAGAGAAAACTTAAGCGCTTATTCGACGAAAAAATACTTATACAAATATGGAGTCAAAAGGCTTCGTTTCGATCTCTGATAAGTTTTTAGCTCTTAGTCCCTAAACTTATCAACAGTAGAATTTTATATTTTTTCTACCGAATTCGCCCTAGTTAATTTGCTTGCGCAACATACGGCAGGGATTCACAGCCAAAACAAGGTTTCTTGTTTTTCCGTCCCCTAGTCAAAAGACGTATTTTAGCGAGAGTTTTAACCCAGTAGTATGTTCAGTGACGCAATTAGGGGGGGGCTGGGGGGGGGGGCTTAGCCCCCCCAAGCTCAAGATTAGCCCCCCCAAATCCGATGGTCACAAATATGATGATAATGACACAAATTAGCCATCCGTCCTCCCAAACCCGAGCGAGCAGATCTGAGTCGCTTTCCAGTGATGCACTTTAAACACTCCTGAGCTGCTCTAGAGCGCCCTGGACTGTTTATAAAGCATTCCAGCGCAATAGAGTTTCGCGCAACTGAACTGTTCGTTTTTCCTCTTCCCTGCCCTCTCAAGCACCGGCTATTTTATAAGGGCATCAAAAACACGAAGCTTAAAGTAGGGTGCGTTCCAGTGACACAACAGTTTTATTAACCCTTTCGTCTGCTGGTCCGTGTCTGTTTGTGCACTTAGGAGGAATTTAATTTAACACAACTTGTTCAGTTTTTAAGTTGTTTTTAGTACCGATTTAAGTAGTTTAAGAAGTTTTAAACTCAATATACAGGATGTCCCAGCCGAGAGTGACCCATTTTTAAAGCTTATAACTTTTAAACCAGGTATGCTGGGTACCTGCGGTTTGTGCCATTCGATTTCTCTTGGCCTAAAGTTTTTCTTAGTAGATTGCAATTTTTTTTGAAACGTAACAGGCCGAATAAAAAAAATCAATTTTTCAACATCGAAATTCTTCACCATTTCTAATGGAATACCCTGTATATCACAGCGACAAAAAAGAGATTCATGTTCAAGGTATCCATGTACCAATAGACATCGTCCCTAAAACTTGAAGTTTTAGCCGTGAAAAATCAAAATTGAAATCTTGGTATTTTTGCAAATGCATGCAACTTCATGTTGTAGGTACTTGATATCACTCTATGTCTAAGGCAAATATTTTGTAACTGTCTAGTTAGATATCAATTAAATTAAAATACGTTTTCCAAGAAAATTTAATGAGCTGAGAAAAAAAACAGACCATTTTTATTAGCCAACTACAACAGAAACTGTATACACTGATATGCTCTTTTTCCCACAGTTAAGACAGGAGGATATCTTGGATGATATATATTTTCAGCAGAATGGTGCCCCCACCTTATCATTCTTTAATAGCAACGGAATCACTAGATAATGGCATTTGGGGAAAGACGGATAAGGAGAGCTGGTCCTATAGAATGAACACTTTACTCTCCTGACTTGAGGGTTCTAGACTTTTTTCTCTAGGGTGATGTCAAGGAAAGGTGCGGTAATACTTTGCTCAAATACCCTGGAAGATCTTGAGCGGAACATTTGTAATATCATTGAAGCGATTCTCCAGGAAATGTTACACAATTCATTCAACCATTTATTAATCCATAAATGCTTGGAGCAGAATGGCTAACATATACATATACAGCATTTTGTATAGTTTTATGCAGTTTTCATTAAAACTTTTCAGTAGGCAAACCTAAGGTCCCAGCTTTAAAAATATGCATTTGCAAAAATACCAAGATTTCGATTTTGATTTTTTATGGTTGAAACTTCAAGTTTTAGAGGCGATGTCTTTTCGTACATGGATACTTTCAACATGAATCTTTTTTTTTTTGACGTTGTGATATACAAGATGTTCCATTAAAAATAGTGGAGAGTTTCGATGTTGAAAAACGGATTTTTTTTACTTGCCCTGTATAAGTTTTAAAAAAAATTTGCAACCTACTAGAAAAAACTTCAGGCCAAGAGAAATCGAATGGCACAAACCGCAGGTAGCTAGCACACCTGGTTTGAAAGTTATAAGTATTTAAAATGGGTCACTCTCGGCTGGGACACCCTGTATTTTTACTTACATATTATGTATGTATGTACAGTTGCGATCAAAAAAAAGTAGTACAAAAATTATTAACCCTAATTTGAGCTCCCGGTGTAACATACAAAATTTTGACAGTAAAGAAACATTTCAAAATATGTTAAGGTTAAGCAATGACATATTCTAGGTTAAAAACGGGTGGAAAAATGTCAAAGTAGGTAATGTCATTTGAAGCTTTCTAGGTTACAAACTTGTCGAGAAATGCCAAAAATATGTCATATTTGATTATGAATTAAATTAATGTATAATAGACCAGGAGATTTTAGAGATTTTTCTTGTACTACTTTTTTTTGATCGCAACTGTACATAATCTATTATAACTTGGTTTTTTTTTTCAACTAAGAACGTAGATTATATCGAAGAACAAAATTTAAATCAGAGTATTTTCGTCAAATTCAGGCATTTGTGAAATACGTACTGCAGTAAGTTTTGAAAAACATCATATACTGTCACGAAATCGACTTATAGAGACCCGGGGCTCAAGCCCCCCCAAAACCAACAAGCTAGTTGCGCCCCTGAGTATGTTGTATTTACTTGGGATACTACATTTTAGCGATCATTATGGCTAACATACTATGACGTCACAACATAAAACACAACATAAAACTCGGCTGTAAACATGTAACCATGTAACCATCCTACGAGGGATAGTTACTGGTTGTAGTATGTCACTGCATCTTTTTCTAATACACGAAAATGAGCATATGGGCAAAACAACATCACCTGATTACGCTACGATTACCGACACAGTTCTCTCCATTATAAATAGAGGATTGTTTTTCCTCATTTTGCCATGGTGATTTTATTTTAGAGGTTCTTTGCAAAAAAAAAAACCTTCACTTGTGCACAAAAGTGTAATTTTATTCAGTGGCGTAGCGGCCTCGCGCCCTAAAGAGCCTCGCAAAAAATAGGTTACCGAACCTGAAAATTGGTACTTTTCGATTTTCCAACATAAAACGTAGAGAACAAATAAACTTAATCCTAAACGAAACTTAACTAAATATCATAGAATTCACTAAACGTTATTAATTCTACTGCAAAATAACTTAGAACTCTCAAATGATATGGTTTTTATTTTTTCAATAGATTGTCGGAAGGATTTGTTAGCGAAAAATTGAAAAATATTATTATTTTTGACTAAATATTGTTATTTCGTACGTAGTATTCTGTAGTATTAGCATTCTTCCAAGTTCCAAGGCTTTAGATCAAGTGCCTTAGAATCTTGCATTGGTCTCCAAAGCTATGGTCTTGAGAGTCTTTATCCTTAAGACATTTCGAAACCTTCAGGATTTTCAGAATCTTCAATCTGCAAAGGCCCTAGAATAATTGACCAAGACGCCGACATCTTTTGCATCTTCTGATTTTAGCTCAGTAAAGTCCTTATTTCAAAATATTTTGAAAAATGAGTCTTCAGAGACTTCAAAATCCCCAGAGTTTTCAGTCATGAGCCTCAAAATCCCTAAGGTATTAAAAGTATGAGGATTCTTCCTAGTTTCAAGGCTTTAAATCAAGTGCATTAGAATCTTGCATTGGTCTCCAAAGCTATGGTCTTTAAAGTCTTCTTAGCTCTTAGCTCAGTAAAGTTTTTATTTCAAAATATTTGAAAAAAAAAAAAATGTCTTCAGAGACTTCAAAATGTCAAGAGTCTTCAGTTACGACTTTTCAAAATTTCTAAGTTTTGCAAAGTATAAGGACTCTTCCAAGTTCCAAAGCTTTAGATCAAGTGCCTTAGAATCCGGCATTGGTCTCCAGAGTCTTTATCCCCAAGACATTTTGAAACCTTCAGGATCTTCAGAATCTTTAGCCTGCAATCTGCAATCGCCCTAGAATAATTGATCAAGACGCCGACATCTTTTGTATCTTCTGATCTCAGCTTAGTAAAGTCCTTATTTCAAAATATTTGAAAAAATGAGTCTTCGGAGGCTTCAAAATCCCCAGAGTTTTTAGTCATGAGACTTTTCTCAAGACTTTTCAAGACCTCTAAGTTGTTCAAAATATTAGGATTCTTCTAAGTTCTAAGGATTTAGATCAAGTGCCTTAGAATCTTGCATTGGTCTTCAAAGCTGGTCTTTAGAGTCTTTATCCTCAAGATCTTTCGAAACCTTCAGAATCTTTAATCTGCAATGGCTCTAGAATAATACCGTTGATATACCCGAAAAAAGGGACGCGACACTCAAAAAATTCCCGCCTTCGGCGGGCCTGCCGTCCAGCGGCTACCGGTCTTTGTCGCTATATCCAACTTTTTGTCATAAGAAATATTATGGCCACCCTATATAAAAAGGGCCTCGCAATTTAGATGTCGCCGACGTCCACGTTTGTGTTGGCTACGCCACTGATTTTATTTTTTTTTTGGCATAGGGTACCCATAAAATTGAAAAATACCATAATCTATCGACAATATTCGAAAATCTTCACTGGAGAAATAATATTGGAACTCGAAAACGCAAAATTTTGCAAAATTCAACAAATCCAAATAAACAACGATCATGGCGTCCTCTCTTAGACCCTTTGTCAAATACACTCCACCTGTTATTTGGGTAACTATGACGTCATGAATCGTAGTATGTGTAGTATGATGTTTACCTGTCGCTAAAATACGCCTTCAGTTAGCAATTTTTTTTTATTTAATGGAATTCTAAGAAATGATCAGATGATTTTTCAATTTGTTGCATGAAGATAACGCTTAGTAAGATTTTAATACTTATAAGGGTGAATGAGCATGTGGTTTGCATTTCACTTAAAGCATATATAATGTACCAACCTGATGCTGTACAACACGGATCCATAAGGAAATATTCTGATATAAACATTTGGCATAATAATGTTGTGCGTATGTCCATCCTTTTCATTGGAGAAAAATAGATCTGGCATCCACACTCGGTTGGCCTCTGTAAGTGTCAAATATTTCAATCTTCCATGGAAATCGTTGAATTTCAGCCTTTCGTCCAACCATTGCTCCCGAAATGTGAGTTGTACTGAGTATTCCTGAAAATATGTGTTTTGTTGATACTTTCATACAGAAACTACGTACTATAGTTTAACATGAAAAACTACTTAATTTAGTTTCTAAGTTGAGTCAAGTAGTGAGAAATTACTGAGAGGAAAGCGCCCACTAAATAATCACAAGTGATAGTAATGGGCTAAGTAGAGATAACTTGCATAGAATGTATAATACCAAAGCGTCCTTTCAATAATTATCACAATTGTCATATTTCAAGCGAATCAAAATGCTTTGATCTTTAACGACGAAAGCCCCGAGCAAGGCAAGTAATGTTAATCAGGTTGTTTGGGGAAACACCGAATCTAATGAACGCACCAAATCTAACAAACCAGCACATTTTCAAGCATGAAATAAAAATTCGCAATAACTTATCGGTGCCAAGCTTTAGAAACTAATGTCCTAGTGGTTGAGGTATGCAACATGCAGGATTAGTTTATTTAAATTAAATAAATTTACAAATTTTTTCGAAAATACCCCTAATTATACAGGGAGATTCAAGAAAAATATGACATTATCAAGTATCTTTTAAATACCGTGTTCTATTTTTTATGGGCTAGTTTTAAAAAGGTCTTAAACTTTCTAACAATTTGACTTATCCATACCTAACATTTATGCCCGATTTCTGAACCATAAAATATCTGTTACATAAAGATATGGAGTGATAAATCTATTATTATTGCACCTTGCATTTATCACTCCATAAATTTATGTTACAGATATCTTGTGGTTGGGGAACCGGGCATATCTAAAAAATGCACCTATATAGGTATTTGCCATTGAATGATAAAACTTACTTCGCAATATCATCAACGTATCAGATAAGGAACTTATTTTTTTCGAGACTACATAATTTGCTTGGGAAGACGTGAGTCTGGCGGGGACGACATGAACTGAACTTGGATGAGCATTGCCTCAATGCTGGTGGGATTGGTTTCCTTAAAGATACTGTTGTTCGTTCAACGATCCTGCCAATTTATTTTAAGTATTTTTCTTTAGCAGCGCTGATGGTATTTTTATAAATATAACAGGTGCCGCCTGTAGGTGTTCCAGGTTTCACATTCGTGAAGAAGTGACGGTATGACAATGGCGCTGTAGACCGCTAGCTCAGTTTGGCACTAATGTCGTGGTTGTCGAACACTCTATTGAAGAGACTCCCAAGAATTGCGATAGCGCCCTTTAATATTTGCATTTGTCAAAAGATGATACCGAGGTTTGGGACGTATTCTATATTTTCTTGAGGTTCTCCATTGGTGATTACAACTGAATCAGGTGCATTAGTATTTGGGGCAGGCTGGTGTACGATTTTTCTCTAATCTGCTCCATTGTGTTTAGATTAGTTTGTATGTCTTCCTAGGTGCTAGAACAGCATTTTTATCAGCACATTGAAGATCGCAAACAGGTGTTGCGAATTCCTTGTTCTTGGCTCGAAGTCTGCTTAGATTGAATAGCCAGCCATCAGTTCTATATGAGATTTTAACGCGCACCGGCAGGTTTGCTTGGACAAAGTGGAGTACGACTTCTACAAACATAGAGAGAATAGGCTTGAGGCAATGAAACATCCTTGCGTGTCTCAGGTTGTGATTTTGAAGACTTCTCCCGCTACGTTGTTAACAAGGGCGGTGGTCTCCATGTTGTAATACAGGAAACGAAGTATGTTGAAGAATTTAGGCGGACAGCCGTGCAATGTCAGTATTTTCCACAGACCGACTGGATTAACAGAGTCAAATGCTTTGAGAAGTTCTATAAATGCCACATACGAAGGTGTGTTTTACTCTTTCGATCTTCTCTGCTGTCCCTCAGTGCCACCTTAGTTTTAGGTAGGGTTGCTTTGGCTAGAGGCAGAAGTTTATTGAATAGAATCCTGGCAATAATTTTTCCGGCTGTAGACAGCAGTGATATTCCTCAGTAGCGCATAATTGGATAAAGCAACTAAAAATAGAATTTTCTACACCCTTACTTCGAAAAACTTGGAGTCCTTGTTGGAAAATAAATAAAAAAGGAAACTCTCTAATTAGAAACATGGAATTTATCCGCACTACGTCACAGCTTGAATTTTGACAGTGTTGCCACTCATTGTCCACTGAAAATTTTTAATATTATATTTAATTCTAAAATGTTGGCGAAACACTAAGAAACATAAGATCCAAGAGTTCATAACATTTCTTTTTTTTTGAATTATGTATTATCATACACAATTGAAATTTATTTATTATAATTAGTTTTGATTTTTTTCTCACGACGCACTACATTTAGTCACAAATAACAACAGCGCAATCAAATTTTAGGCCAGCGGCCACCGGAACAGCTGTTCGTGTTTTGTCAATGGAGTCTTATTAAATTTGATTGGTAGAAGATGCTCATATCTCCTGTATGTCATCGTTTGTCGCGTTTTAAGGATTCCAAATTTTTCCACTTCTTTTTGCTAGAGGATTCTTCTATATTATCTAACAAACCTGTAACTGACCAAACAAACTTGTAAAAAAAAATAATTTGCATCGATTTGAGACAGGGCTCGGATTCCGAACTCACAATTCGATAGTATCGTCTATCGTCAAGCCAAATTATCTCGTGCAAAAATACGTACCTGACGATAGACGATACTAACGAATCGTGGGTTCGAAATCCGGGCCCAGGTTAGGGATAGATAAGTTATGATTCTAAAAATAATCATTCAAAAAATAATGGTAATTATCTAAAAATATCTTTGAAGGCAACATATTATACTTTTCATAATCAATTAAAGCAAAGCGATCAGAGATCCAATTAGATAAAACCAGTGGAAATTAAAAAAAAAACTCATGTTTCAACTAGGAGTATCAAAGCCGATATTCAACGGTAAATTAATATAAAGTAGATAGGTATAGCGCTTAATTGAATGCTGATCTAATTTTTGTTGGATATGCAACCACTCTTGTCAAATAATGTATTTCACATTTGATATAAATTACTAAAAAGCTTGAAAATCATATAAAAATTAAATTGGAAATTTGTTCCTAGAGTCTCGACCGCAATCATTGAAATTTAGCTGGTTTGTAATGTGGATCCAATTCTGTTCTAACTGGAATGGTGGGAAATCTGAATAGTTAATTGGCAATTTCAACCTTATTGGATTAAAAGAATGTAGCACTTGCTTTGATAGGTGAGTTTCTATTATAGCACATTGTGGATTTCGTCTATTGTCAAGATCAAAGCTCAAATCATAATTAAATTTTATTTCTGTAAAATTAGCATGCGACATTATTTTTTATCAAAAACGTAACATGCAAAATAGAATAGAAACATGCACGATAAAACAGAATTTTGCATTTATTTATCAAATGGAATTTTCAGCTGTAAAACTGCCTGAAACCCCATTATATTATGTTAAAAATCTAATTGAATGTAAATCAATGATAAAAGTGAATTAATTACTATGCACTTTTCGTGGTGGCATTGTTTGTAATAAAATTAGAGTGACAAGTTTATTTGAAAATGTTTAAATCGAACACCTAACTTCCAACAACAATATATAATAGTTCGATTTTCCAATTTCTATTGCATCCGCTATGTAAATTATTAAAAAAATTAATATTTTTATATATTAGTATACCTACATAGCTAATTTTTTTAAGAGAATTAGAAAATTCCAATATTAAAATTACCTGTGTTCCTCGTAAATCTTACTCCATACTCTAAAACTTGCAAAATAATAATATAATGTGAACAATTTTAAAAATAATCCCACAATAGAAAAACTTTCAAACAATAAAATGGTAAATTTTGCAATAATTGGAAACATGCAAACCTATTTTTTAATTATATATAAATATCTCATCAACTGGTCATACGCTAGTAAATTGTAGTTTGCTTGCTTGGACCATTATCATCAACCAGTCCTTTGATTTTCAAAAAAGTACATAAATACATTTTGTCAAAATACCTACACGAAAAATAAATAAAAGAAAATCGATCATAGGCCATGCAGAAAATGTAGATGATTTTACAATGTTTTGTTATTACTTTCCAACAAGGTGAGTATTTTCCAGAAAAAAGGAGTGTGAAATTTTACCTTTTAAAATTATTTGAAAAAAAAAATAAAATACTTTCCAGAGTAATAAAGTTTTGGAAGGAATCCTTTACATGGTATTTTTATGGAGATTAGGTTAAGCTCCACATATGAACTTTTCTTCTATGGTCGTAAAATTAAAATTGAATGCAATAACTGCTAGCCCCGAAATCCAGAAACCCTACTGTTTTTTGAGTACACCTTATATTTTTAACGTTTTCCTATGAGTCAAATGTTATGTTATCCTAAAACATCTCTCGAGGACTAAAATTTCAGTCTACCTACTTTCTCTTCCTCTTAGTGTGGATAGATCAATAATTTGTTAAGTTCTTGTTAGTTAACAAAAACATTACATCAACTATGTCAATGTCAATATGATATTGACTTTTTCTGACACAATCTGAGGTTATTGTTGGCCAACCAGGGCTTAACAAGCAATAAGCCTAGCCACTCTTCGAGTGGGGTAACAGTAGAAAAGTTGATAAACGACCTCATTTAAAGTCTTAACATCTATCTATCAATCAGTCCCAAACGCCCACATCTGGGAATCCCATTTGCTGTTCTATGTTTCTCTATCTTGAATGTAAAATTATCACATTAGTTTATTTTTTCTCCAAAATTCCAATTTTATTTAAAGATAATTTTACTATATCTACCCAATCGGTCATCATGTTTTCTTCTTCTGTTGTATGTGTAGATATAGAAAGCTTGGAAAGAATCCAATATTTCGAACGGCCGTTGAGCCCGTGAAAATATTACCATCATCAGCTATCCAATTAAAATTGATGAGCCTATATCATACTTAGACAAATTATTCCCAAATAGCATTTGTTAAACGTAAGATAACTCCCTGATGATGGTAATATATTTACCAAATCGTCTGCATTTTTAAATATTATTCTTTTCAACCTCTCGATCCACATACAACCAAATCGAAGA